ATTTTTCTAAACTTAATTTAATTTAATTTAATTAATTTATTTCATCTTTTTGAATCAAGGTCTCACTATGCAGTTCAGGCTGGCCTTCAGCTCACTTTATAGCCCAGACTGGTCTCAAACTCACAATGATCCTCCTGCCTCAGCCTCTCAAGTGCTGGGATTACAGGCATGTGCCACCACACCCAGCTAAAATCTGATATATACTCTTTTGTGCGTATTTTTTTTAATTTTTATTTTTATTTTTTATTTTTGGTGGGGCTGGGGATCAAGCCCAGAGCTTCACACATGCCAATCGCTTTACCCTTGAGCTACACCCCTAACCCCCTGCTATCCAACTCTATAATTCTTCAACTCCTGTCCCTTTCAATCTCTTCCTCTAAGATAGGCCTGAAGAATCCACTTCTAGCAGAGGTGAATCAGGAACTTTGAAAAGCGAAAACAGGCATGAACCAAAGAACAAGGAAAAGGTAGGCCCAAATGTGACAGGAAGAAAGGACTAGCCGGAGAAGTAAAAGAGAAAAGTAAGGAAAATATGTAAGTATATTTTCCTGAAGCTACGGGGCTTCCAAGGCTTTTGGGAATCATAGAGACCTGACCTCAAAACTTCATCCCTTGTCTGGGCTCTTACCTGTTTGTGAACCTTTGTAAGTTGTTCCAGGTTGTTCTCAAGAAAGGAAATCTTCTGCTTTTGGGAGTGAATCCCCCCACTGTCCTCGGGCTCCATTTCTGCACTCTGATTAGAGACAGAGGGAAGATGTAGTTGTCCTGAGGACGAACAGGCCCCACCTCGGCCAGGCCAAGCCAGCCCCACGGGAGCAGCAGGGCGGGAGAAAGCTAGGAGGAGCAGACGACGTGGGGTTGGCAGGAGCCGTAGGGGGAGCACTCACTTTCTTGACTCGAGTCGTGACGTCTTGAACGAACAGCTTGCGAAGATTGTGGAGGGTCTGGAGTTCACGAGCCTGGGAAGAATGACAAAAAAATTAGGGCTCTCTAGATAGCATATTTATCTTCTCCCTCCACAATGTTGTTTATTTTTTTTTCTTTTGTCTTTGTGAGACAGGGTCTCGCTATGCAGTTCAAGCTGGCCTTGAGCTCACTTTGTAGCCTAGGCTAGTCTTGAACTCTCAACAATCCTCCTGCCTTAGCCTCCCGAGTGCTAGGATTACAGGCGTGTGCCACCACGCCCGGCCTTCCCTCCACAATTATTGGAAACTTCAGTCTATACAGTCAGTGAGCCACTCATGTTTTAGGAAAGGACGTGTCTTGGTTATGCCACAGACAATGATGGCAAACCTTTTAGGGTTCTGAGTGATAACAAACAGCTGGCTGCAGCATGCGTGCCATAGGTTCGCCACCACTGCCATAGACTAATTGCCAAAGGGCAGGAAAAAGCAAGGTCAGGAAGGGACTGGGGGGTGGGAAGGGGGCCTGAAGCCCTCTCCTCCCGTTTGCTTGGCACAGAAGGAAACCACTCACAACTGTCTCCTCCAGACCCTTGAGGTCCTGCTTGGACTGCTCGTGTCGCTCGTACAGAAATCTGCAGCAAGAGAAATAAGAAAGGAGCAAACAGAGAGATTCCTCAGGACCCTGTGTCCACCCCTGCTCCATCCCTTTGATCTCTACTATCATTTATTACACTCGTAACTCATGTTTACTGTGCAGAAATTAGGACACAATTTAAAAAGAGAACTAAGAGAAATTTTAAAAGGACCACAATTTTACTACTTATAGATCAAACCACCATGAACCACCTGGCGTCCATCTTAGCAGACTACTGTTTCTATGCACATACATATCTGCATATAAATGTTATGAGAGGGCCGGGGATATAGCTCAGTGGCACAAGTGCCTGCCTGGCAAGCGCAAGGTCCTGAGTTCGATTCCCGGTACCCCCTCCAAAAAAATAAATAAGTGTTTTGGAGAACCAGGCGTGGTGGCGCACACCTGTAATCCCAGCACTCGGGAGGCTGAGGCAGGAGGATTGTTGCGAGTTCGAGACCAGCCTGGGCTACAAGGTGAGCTCAAGGCCAGCCTGAACTGTATAGGGAGACTCTGTCTCAAAAAGACAAAAATAAATAAATAAACTTTATGAGATCAGACAACTCACACCATTTTGTAATCTGCTTGCCATACTTCGTAGAATATCATAATCCTCTTTCCCCTAGGTCAGCTAATGCTCAGCAGGGGTCACTCCTGACTACCCCATCAAGTTTGTTTCCTGTGAGTCACCATGGGCCGGCTACACACGCACCCCGGCTCTACCAGCGCATCTGCAAGCACATCTGCGCAGGGCGGGGAGCCCATCTAGCCTCAGGCCAGCTGGCAAGACCATCACTCACGTCAGCTCCTGAAGCTTGGTGCTCTTCTCATGTTCTTCGTTCTTCAGCTTCTCATAGTCAGCCTGGAGTTTCTCCAGCTCTAACTGGAGCTTCTGATTCAGACTACAGAAAATATTGGGGGAAAAAAAGATACTGATGAGCAGTCAGGGGTGAACAGACCCTCAAACATTTGTCTACTTCTCGTACGAGTGAACCTAGTTAGAACGGATGCATCTCAACAAAGGCAAGGCAGGGGCATCACAGTCCCGGACTTAAAATTATCCTACAGAGCTACTGTGATGAAAACAGGACGGTACTGGTGAAAAAGCAGACCTGAGGATCCATGAATGGATGAGAAGATATAGACCCAACTCCAAACACATTTAGCCACCTTATCTTTTTTTTTTGTACAGGGAATCGAACTCAGGACCTTGCACTTGCCAGGCAGGTGCTGTGCCACTGAGCTAAATCCCTGGCTCCGGCCACCTTATCTTTGACAAAGGAGCCAAACACCTTCACAGGAAGGAAGATAGCCTCTCTAATAACTGAGGTTGGAAAAACTGTCTCTCCACATGCCAAAGATTAAAACCCATGTCTTTCACCATGCACTAAACTAAAATCAAAATGGATGGAAGATCTGAATATTAAAATAGAAATACTAAATCTGCTGGAAGACAGAATAGGTAGAACTCTTGAAGGCATCTCTATGGCAAAGACTATGAACAAAACCCTGGCTGCATAAGAAATACCACAAAGAATCAACAACTGGGATCTAATCTTCTTAAAAAGCTTTTGCACAGCAAAAGAAACACCAACAGAGTGAAGAGACAACCCTCAGAGTGAGAAAAAAATTTTGCCAGTTGTTCCTCAGACAAAGGAGTAATATCTAGAATATATAAAGAACTCAAAAAAACAGACCCCCCC